AGAAAAAAGGGGGCGCCCCCCCCCCCCCCCCCATTTTGTTGTTTTTTTTTTTTTTTATGAACCTGGATTGTGGTAGGGTTTTAATTGATAACGTTTCTGAAAACTTCTGGTGTTGAACTGAACTGCTCACATTGAATTTCCTGGTTTGTTGTTTGGTTTTTTTTTTAAGCTATGACTTTTCTGTGGTTATAGAAAAAAGTTCAGTCTTGAATTTGTAATGACAAGATCGGGGGAATGACACAGAATGTTGCTTCTGTTGGTTTTGGTCAATAAGATTGTTATTTAAAATTTGGGATTCTAGTAACATAGTTAGCAAGTAGCATTGCTCTCCTGTTTTGTGGCCAGGTTTGGGGGCAGGGGTGTTGTCTGTTGATTCATGCTAAACTCCTTTTTCAACTTGTAGGAAATATTGCTACAAACCTGTCATGTTTACTTTCAGGTCGCAGCACTGTCTGGTGATGCAAGGCGTTGCCTTGATATCTGCAGAAGGGCCACTGAGATCTGTGAGTTTGCTAGCCACAAGAGAACCCCTGAAATAGTCAGGATGGCCCATGTAACAGAAGCCATAGATGAAATGTTTTCATCACCATATATAAATGCAATCAGGTAAAAACATTTCTCAGATTCACTGGGCTATTCCCCCTCCCCACCCCACCCCTAAAAAAAAAAACAAAAAAAAAAACATTCAGTCTGTCCTCACCACCCTTCGGGAGCATATGCGATGCATTGTGCTTTGTTGAAGTACGATACAAAACAAACTTTGCAGCACAACTAGGAGAGAGACATACAAAATAGGAATTAAAGACAGGGGAAACAAAGGCATAGAAATCACTTGTACCAAGTTTATACAGGATGTTTCCATGTTGGTGTGTTAGCTCAGATCAGGAGGAGGCTTTTGAATTTCCTGATTGTCCCTGCTTACTGTACATCGATTTCACTGAACAGCAGTTTCTAAGTTCATATATTTGAATTCCTTCCAGTTGGAACTAAATCTGGAAGATACACTCAGGAGCCGAGAACTACAAATGCTGCTGGTTATTCAGCATACTGGACCAGACTTTGAGCTAGACTGAGGGGGGAAAAACACTCAGATGTGCATAATGTAGGCACCGGGTCCTCAAAAGTCAACTATTCCCCTTTACATACCTGCTTGTATTATGCCACTGTTGTTGCTCGCTTAGATGCAGCCACAGAGGTCTGAGCAGAATGCAAGGCTTCCCCATTTGAACTGGTTTCTTTAACGTAAATAGATTCTGTTAGGACCTCCAAAATGTTTCCTGAGGGACTACATGTGAGGAATTCTGTTGCCTTTCAGTGGCCTGCACAAGCTGTAGCCGGTAAAGTGCTTTACCATTTTCTAGGCAAAAGGAAGAGAATCTGTTTCAGCAGGGAAGGGGGGACTAAGGGGTGCAAATACAGTATTTTGTTGGATATGTAAGTCCTGCTTTTACTGTGCTACTTAGGCCTGAAAACCTCAATGTTAATTTGTTATTTCATAAATGTAAGTTGACCATAACACACTGCAGAACGTGTATGATGTATGGAATGAAACATGTTCAGATACAATGCATTTTACTTCACCTCGCCTCTCTTTCAATGTATTGTGGTGCCAGAATTGCAGGGTGTAATATAATGGCTAGTTGACATAAACTAGCCCTCTCAGGTAGAAAAATAGCCTGCATTTAAGTATGTGGTTACCAAGCAATTTCCCTTCCAGACTTCCTGATGTTTCATAAGTTCTAAAGTTTGCAGACTGATTTTTGTCTGTTTCGTTTTGATATTCAGGAATGCCTCATTGCATGAACAGATCTTTTTGAAAGCAATTTTGGCAGAGTTTCGCAGGACAGGAGTTGAGGAGGCAACAGTTCAACAAGTAAGTTTGTGGTTTGGAGTAACTTTTTTTTTTTAATCTTAAAAGAGGGGGGCGCTGTCAAAATTATCAGGCAAAGGTGTAAATACTTAAATATTTGGGGTTTTCATTCTGAAACTTTGATGGAAGACAATAAAATGGCAAGGTAAACTGGGACATGGCTGTCCAGGCTAGGTGTAAAGTCTAATTGAATGCTACCACCTGTTTTCAATGGGACTAAATACTTAATAACTGGAAACATCTGCTGCTGTATTAATGTTACCAGTGATCTGGATCACAAAGTGATTTTTTTTTTTGGCCTGCATCTGAAAATATTGCATGTGTCCACCTAACATGCTTTATAACAGGAAAAATAAGAGAACCTGAAAATAGCAGGCAGCATAGTTCAAGGAGGAAAACTGGAAGCTGATTCCAACTTCTGTATCACTGTCTTTCTCAGTAGAGGAAGGTGTATCACTAGTATCTTCAGCAGAGCTGTGAAGACTGCACAGAGTTCATGTCACGATTCACTGTATGGAAGCTAAATGTTAATACTTATAAAAATGTTTAGAACTATATATTTATGTATAAAATAACCTGCCAGTTTTATCTGGTTCTGCAGGTTTGTAAGTAAGCATTTTAATTGCGTTTACTGTTACTGGCTCCTGAATGTCCGCATCAGTTGATTGCATAGATACACTGGGCTATTTGTTCTTGAAGTTCACAGAATATTTTGTTAGACTGATTTGTTACATTTTCCCCTTGGTTTTCCTGTAACACCAAAAGGGTTTTCTTAATAGAAAAGCAGAAGACCCCAATTGATTCTTGTTTTACAGATTTACTAGTCTGCATGATTTGTGACAAGTGCATTCTCCTGAGCACAAAGGTGTATCATGCCTTTCTAAGCTGTGATCTTTCATGTTTGTAGTCAGTGTGACTTATGTTTACTTGTCACTGGGCCTGAATATCACTTCCGAGTGAATTGATATGTAACTAACTGTATGTCAGCTCTTAATCTGCTGAATAAGCTTTAGTCCACATACTCCAGGGGAGAAGAGTTGTGGTAACAGATAAAATGATGTAGTTTAAAAAAAAAAAAAAAAAAAAAAGGCAGATAAAGTAGGTTGCTAATTGTTCTGCTTTTTGGCTATATAAAAAAAGGAAACTGTAGTTTGGAATTGTTGCTTCTGTGACAAAGTCATAACAGTTTTGTCCTAAAACAGCATTGTGTGTGTTTCATCTGAATGGACTGGAGCTAGTTTTTCCTCTGCTCCCGTAGATGTGGAGGGAAGGAAGCTTCTCTTTTTCACCTTGGCCTACTCAAAGCAGGAGGTAAACATGACCTGTGTCCTTTTCTCTTTTTTTTTTAATAGGTCTATCATCAACACATAGCGTTGTGTAGAATTGAAGGCATGCAGAGCCCTACACTATCAGAAATTATGGCAATTTGTTCAAGACTTGGTGCCTGCAGGCTCTTGCTGGTGGAGTCCAGTAATAAGTATCTTCACATGCGGGTGCGACTAAATATCAGCCAGGACGATGTCATGTATGCACTCAAGGAAGAGTAAGGCAATAGAGATTTTTTAAAGTACATATAAATATTTTAAATATTGTCTATTTTTATTTTTTAAATTGTTGATAAAATGGAAATAGTGAGATGTATTTTTTCTAAATGCTTTGCTTGAATGTAATGTATTAAAGCACTTTTTGTATAATAAAGAATTTGCTTCAAAGCCTTTTAAATACTTGAAATCAAACAATTTGTTTTTAAAATATTTTTGTGTGCTGGTAACTGGTCCCCTTTCAGCTGAGGTGTATGAACTTGAAATGGATTACTCCCCTCACTACTATGCTGAGGAGGTTGTTTTTGTGAAGAGTAGCAGTGTCTTTGTGGTGTTGCAGTTTATGTAGCTTTTCCTCCTTGACTTTTGTTGAGTGTAAGGCATCATTAAAATGTGCTTTACCTTACGTTACTGAGCTAATGAAAAGGAACTTCTAGTTTGCACTGAATTAAGGAGACTGTTTGCTACCAGGAAAGTAAAAAATACCAGGGGAAACTTGTCACTCAAGTAACCAACTTTTTTCTTTTTGATTGATATCGAGGATTGTTTCCAAGATGTGGCCTCAGGTAGTGCAGGTCTGTTGAAATCTGCTTTCGTAATCGACCTGTTCACAAAAATGCACTGGTTATCGGGAGATGGA